GCCAAGTCACGGGCCTTGCGCGTCCTGCGCCTCGCGACCCATGCCCTGCTGCACCCCGGCGGCACCGTGGCCCACGGCTGGGTCTCGTGTCCTTTTGCGCGCCCTCTCCAGTCAACCCCGACTGTATTCAGGGGGCGAAGAAGGGTACAAAATAAACGTTTCCGCCGTCGGGGGCGCCTGCCCCCCAGGCGGTTGCAAAGTTTACACCCGCACGGTGCCACGCAGGGGTATAATCTTTCCAGCCGCCCAGGGACAGGCGCCCCCCCACGGCGGAACAGCTTATCTTATACCGTTCTTCGCCCGCCAATGTATGCCGCTGTCCGCTCCCCCCTCTTCGCGGCGCTCACCTCCACCTTCATCTTCGCCGGCAGCGCCAGCAGGGGCACGGCCCAGGCGTGGGGGACCGAAGAATGGCAGAAACATACAAACTCGGAGGTCCGCGCGGAGTTCTCGGATGCGCGCTGGACCCCCCCCCTCCCCGGCGTGCGCAGCGCGCCAGGGGCGGCGCCAGAGGCGCCGCTGCCGGGGCTCCAGCGCGGATCCGAGGAACCCGCGCGGGCCTCCGAGTGTTTACGCTGATCTCTGGATCCCCCTTCCGATCCTTGGGTCCCCTGGATCCCCTCCTGCCCTCGGAGCCCTTCCTGCCCTCTCCATCCCGAGGACCCCGTGCCTCAGGACCCCATCTCTGCACCACCGGCCAGGCGGTGCTCGACGCGGGGGTGGACCCGCTCTGGATGCCGGCGGCCATCGCCGCCGTGGCGCTGCCTGCCACGGTGGGCCTGCTGCGGGTGCTGGACACCCTGCCCGGGCCGAGCGCGGAGGATCGCGCCGCGCGCGGCGCGCGCGGCGCCTCGACGCCGGCGCAGAGCTGGGCCTTCGCGCAGCGCTTCCTGCCGGGGCTGCTGGCCTTCGTCGTCGCCTACACCGGGCTCGTGACCATCCGGCAGTTCCGGGACCTCTTCGCACGGGACCTCCTGGGCGCGGCCTTCGGCGGGGCAGTCCCAGACGCCACCACCATCTTCTTCCTGGACGCGGCGGGGGGCGCCGTGGCCTTCGCGGTGCTGCTGGCGGTGTCGCGCATCGCCAGCAACAAGGAGGCGATGCTGACGATGCTCCGGGGCGCTCTCACCTTCACCCTCCTCACTGTCGTGGTCGGGCAGGCGTTCGCTGGCGGCCTCATCGGAGGCCTTGCTTGGCAGGTCCTCACCGGCGCCTTCCTCTTCGGGGCCGTCGCCTGCATGCAGGGTGCCTTCTTCGACCGCCTGGTGGCAGTGAGTGGTGAGGCCATCACGTGCACCTTCCTAATCTTCGTGGCAGATTCAGCAGGCTTGCTGCCACACCCGCCGTCTGGGCCCATGCCAGAGGACTGGGACCCTGCCCCAGATGATCACAGCCGTCACATCTGCAATGTGGGCCTGGCGGGGGGGGGAGCGCAGGGGGCCCATTTCGACCACCCCGATCCGATTCGATCCGATTTCGGTGGAGCCTCGATTCCGATTCCGACCTGACTCCTCCCAACTCGGCCGCCGATCCTCGCCGATCCGAGCCACTTCCGTCGCCGGTCCGACTCTTCGATTCGACTCCTGGGCTCTCCTGGGAGCGGGAGCTCCGGCCACCCTCGTCGTCGCCTTTTCGTCGTCGTCGTCGTCGTGGTCGTCGTCGACGTCGTCGTCGTCGTCGTCGTCGTCGTCGTCGTCGTGGGCGATCGTCTGCGCGCCCCGCGCGGCGCGAAACCAGCTGGGCAAAACCAGCCGTTGGCGAAACTCAGGAGGGGGAAAACACACACACAGACACAATCAATCGTCGATTCCCCAGAAAATGTGGAAACACGTGGGAAGTGGGGGAGAAACAAAAACCCAGAACATATGGGAAAGTATGGGGAATCCTTGTATTTGTGTCTATTTGTTTGCGTGTCCCAGGGCCCCTTCAGAAAATGTGGAAACACGTGGGAAGTGGGGGGGGGAAATAAAAACCCAGAAAATATGGGAAAGTATGGGGAACCTTTTTATTTGTGTCTATTTATCTGCGTGTCCCAGGGCCCCTTCAGAAACCAGCGGTCGCCCTCCCCGGGCGGGGGGCCCCCTTGTGGGGGCAGGGAGGCCGCCGCGCGGCCGCGCACTCGCCGAGGGTGAAGTCGGGCATGCTCTTCTGCAGGAGGACCAGTCAAAGTAGACCAAACAATGTTCAGGAGACCATTTTTCGGCCACTTTTGGTGGCAATGTTTGGATCTTCTTGTTCTTTCTTATTCAACTTCTCGCCCAAGGTCCGCCTGCAGGAGCACGAGCCCGCGGGGGCCGCGCCGCGCGATGGGGCTGGCTCTCGGGGAGGGGGCCCCGGACACGCGACCACGAGGGACGTTTTCGGGGAGCCGCTCAGTCCCCTCGCGTGGACGGCTGCGTGCGGGCTTGGTCTCCGTCGCTGCACGCACAACTTTTTAATTTGCCGATGCGCCGTGTGTGCGCCGGGCTTGACTGCTGCTGCTGCTGCTGCTGCTGCTGCGCCCAGGAGGTGCACTCAGACCCCCTCGCGTTGTTCTGGGCCTCCCAGATGGGGTCGGAGCAGATGGGGTCGGAGCAGATGGGGTCGGAGGATCACGCCGCATCGCCCATGCATCGACGATGCGGTTCGATGCGGAGCTCGACTTTCGCCACGCCGACATCGCCGATGTATCGCCGATGTTGCCGATGCATCGCTGATGCATCGGTGATGTATCGCAGATGTATCGGCGATGCGGTGCGATCCTCCGACCCCATCTACTCCGACTCCATCCAGGAGGCCTCTAGTTGTGAGACAATCACGACGGGAGGTTTTTCGTTATTTTCGGCCTCTGGGGGCCCTCACTGGGCTTCGGGGCCGTGAGAAAACGACCCGGGATGGAAGACCGGTCCCGGGGCATGGGTCCGGACCTCGCTGGGGGTCGCGTCATGAAAAACTCATGACGCTGCGGGTTTGGGCACCGACCTTGACCCTGGGGGCAGGTTCTTCGTCCTGGATCCGGTGTTGATGCCCCCTCGGGCCCGACCCCGGGCCCTGGAGGCCGAACGCGAGGACTCACGCCCGGATGGAAGGCGCAGGCGCGTCGGGGACCTGGGTCTCCTTCGCCCTGGGCGGCCCCGGCGCAGGGGCCGGCGGGCCTGATCGGTTACGTCGGGCAGTTCTCCCTCTTCGCGTGGAAGCTGCTCGGGTCCAGCGGGCCGGCCACGCCCGAGGCCGTGCTGCAGCAGTTCCATGCCGCGACCGCCGGCCTCGGCCTGCTTGCCGCGCTGTCCCTCGCCGCGTGCGCGTGGTACTTCGGGGAGCGCATCCCGGACGGGCGCGCCGGCGCCGGGGGCTCGAAGACCTGAGGCCCCCCGGCGCGGCGGGCGGCTCGCGGAGGAAGGAGGTGGAGGAGGAGGAGGAGGAGGAGGAGGAGGAAGGAGGAGGAGGAGGAGGAGGACTGGAAGGAGAGGAGGAGGAGGAGGAGGGAGGAGGAGGGGGAGGAGGAGGAGGGAAGAAGGAGGAGGAGGCTGAGGAGGAGGAGGAGGCGGAAGAGGAGTGAAGGAGGAAAGGGAGGAGGAAGGAGGGATGGAGGAGGAGGAGGAGGAGGAGGAGGAGGAGGAGGAGGCGGAGGAGGAGAAGGATGAGGAGGCTGAGGAGGAGGAGGAGAGAGGAGGAGAGGGAGGGGATAGACCTGACGCTGCAGTCGATGTGGGTGGAGTCCCGATCAACAACGAAGGAGGGAGCAGAGGGAGGAGCAGAGGGAGGGGGCTGGAGGAGGTCGCGGCGGCCGCCTCAGAGGTGGAGGTGGAGACGTCTGGCCGGGGCCTCGGGGGCGGAGGTGGAGGCGAGTGAACGGGGAGGATGCCGCTGCGGAAGCGGAGACGGGGGCCCATCAGGATGATGAGGAGGAGGCGGAGGAGGAGGAGGAGGAGTAGGAGGAGGAGGACCAGTGTGAACCTACGACACATCAGCGATAGTGCGCTAACCCACGCTCGGAGTTCCCCCTTTACAGGTCCCTACACGAACTTATTTACATTGTTGGAAGTGCCCCATTGGGAGTCAACCGCTTGGAACTCCTCAATCGTGACACCACCATTCCTGGGGCTTCAACGCCGCGAATCAACGTGACTGTTGCGTCCTGAGAAATCCCAGATCGTGCCAGAACACCGTTCATGGGACGTCGGCACTGCGAGTCAACGCAACTGTTGCGTCCTGACAGTCCTCGATCATGCCAGAAAACTACTCCTGGAAATCCAGCCATACGAATCCTTGAAAGTGTTGGAAGCTTTTCCGACGAATGTGCCTGGTGCTAAGGCTAAACAGCATTTGAAATGGACCCGTCCTCCATCCTCGAAACGGTTGCAACAGTTTAAGGCCAATGTGCTTGGAGCTAAGGCCAGAGCAACATTTTGAAAATGACCTGTCCTCCATCCTTGAAGGGGTGGGGTCGGAGAGAGGGCGGAGGGACGTAGGCATGGATGAAAGGGTGGGGACGGATGGATGGGAGTGAAGAGGTTGGGAGGAATTGGGAGACCATGGGGAGGAGGAGGAAAGAGGAGGAGGAGGGGAGGAGGAGGAGAAGGAGGAGGAGGAGGAGAAGAGGAAGAGGAAGAGTAAAATCAGGAAAGGGAGGAGGACGAGGACAATGATGATGCTGCTGCTACTGATAATGAGGATGATGTTGGTAGTGGTGGTGGTGATTACGACGATGATGACGACGATACTATTAGCACTGATGATGCTTATGATGATGCTGCTGCTGATGATGATGATGTTGCTGCTAATGACAATGATGATGATGACGATGTTCACGATGAGGCTGCTGATGATGATTAGGAGGAGGATGAGGACGATGATTATGAAGATGACGAAAGTGTTTCCCTTCATGTGCACAATCAGTGGTATCTGTTCTTATCGATATCGTTTGACGTCCGCAGCTCATTTGTGTCAAAGGAGCGTTGCATGGTAGCGGAGCGTCGGTTTAACCGGCGCTCCCGCGCACCAGCCCGGCCGCGCTCCAGCGCGGCCCGCCCTGCACACTCCAGCCACGGCGTCGAGCAGCGATAGCGGGGCTGCTGGTGGCGTGTGGCTGTGGGTGCCAGACGAGGAGGCACCAGTCAAGCAGACCGACGGCAGGGTGCAGCGCAAGTGGCGCCACGTGGTGGCGAAGGTGCTGAAGCAGAAGTACCTGAAGGGTTTCTGGTCTGTGCTTGGTGAGTATCTCAAGTACGTCAAGGCCAGGCAGCTGCGATGAACGATCAAGAGAGGCAGGCCCTGGCGAGCCTGCAGTCGGCCGTGGAGGCGCTGAGGCTCCAGAATGCGCAGTTGACGCAGCAGGCCGAGCAGATGCAGCAGCAGAATGTTCAGATCAGGACGGAGCTCGCTCGGCAGGTCCAGGCGCAGGGAGATCTGCCACGTCTGGCCGAGCAGCTCGGCGATGCGGTGCAGAAGCTGTCAGATGAAAGAAAGGATAAGTCTTCAGCGCCAGCCTTTTCCCTCGTGGACACCAAGGGGTTAGGCAAACCCTCCATCTTCAAGAATGAGGAAGCAAAGTTCCTGGAGTGGTACCGCAAGACGAACGCGTACCTGACAGCAGTCTTCGGAGAGCAGTTCCGCAAGCTGCTGGAGTGGGTGGAGGACCAGGCGCAGGAGACCACGGTTATCAGCATGGAGGTTCTGGAGGCGCGGTTCGGCAGCGACGACGATGATGAAGATGAATTCATTCCAGACCTCAGAGAGAAGGTCAGCCAGCTGTACGTCGCACTCCAGACGCTGACAGAAGGTGAGAGCTTTGCCCTAGTGATGAACACTCCCAAGGGCAACGGCGCCGAGGCGATGAGGAAGCTCATCAGGCGCTGGGACCCAGCTTCGGGAGGCAAGCGCCGCGTGCTCTTGAAGCAGATCATGAACCCGCAGCGGTGCACCCTCGGCGACTTGTACGCCAAGCTCGAGGAGTGGGAGGAGCTCATCCGCCGGTACGAGAGGAAGAAGGCAGACGGCCAAGGCAAGGTGGTTGACGATGACGTGAAGGTTGCAGCCCTGGAGACGATGGTGCCAGAAGAGCTCGAACTCCACCTCGCGATGAACAAGCATCGGTTAGACACGTCGGAGAAGGTCATAGAGGAGATCAGGAGTTTCCTGGAGTCGAGACAGTCGCAAGGTGCCCTACTCCGACGGAAGCGAGGTGACCCAATGGACGTGGACTCACTGTACAAAGGAGGCAAGGGCGAGTCCAAAGGTAAGGGTGACAAGAACGGCAAGAAGGGCCAGACCACCAAGCCGCGTGACAAGCGGACGGCCGCCAGTGATGGCGATTTACGAACACTTTAGTACTAGCACGCTAACAGCTTGTCTACGCGGCTTGGTGGTTTGGCCCTTCTTGCCGTTCTTGTCACCCTTACCTTTGTGCCCTCGCCTTGCCTCCTTTTCCCTTTCTCCCTCCTTCCCCCCTTTCCCCCTCTCTTTCCCTCTCCCTGCTTCTTTCATGTCTTTCCTCTTTTCCCCCTTTTTTTCCCCACTTTCCCTTTTTTCTTTCGTTGCAGTAGGCTGGGCCATACGTCTAATGAGTGTTTTTACAGTTCGCTGCCTGTGGCGGGGAAAAAAAAAGACGGGCGACGGCGACCGGCGACGGCAAGGGCAGCAAAGGCAAAGGCAAGGGCAAGGACGCGGACAAGGACAAAGGCAAGGGCAAGAATCGTCGCTGGGACACCAACTCCTTCGAGCCCGGTGCCGCGTCGAGCTCGAGCCAGCCGGTCTACACAGACAACTGGGGCGACGGCAACCACAGCACGAGCACCAGCCTACCGCCTTCAGCGAGCCAGGTGGGTTCCACGAACCTTGGCTCCTTCGAGCTGTGCACGCTTGAGCTCAACAGCTTCGACGAGACCGTCGACGACCAGGAGTGGATCAGGTTCACGTTTGACTCGGGCGCAGCCGTTACCACCTTCCCCGAGAACACCAAGGGTGAGCGGCTCCCGGCCGATCCGAATGCGAGCTATCGGACGGCCAGCGGTGAGATCATAGCAGACTCGGGCGGTGTATGCATCCAAGGGCGATCCGAGTGGAGCGAGCCGATCAGACTGAAGGCACGCCTGGCCAGCATCCACAAGCCGCTGGTCTCGGCCTCGCAGACTCACCGCACGGGCCGGGCCACCTGGCTGACGAAGGAGGGTGGCTACATACTCCCGGCCGGCTCGGACATCGTGAACCGCGTCGACGCTCTCATTCGTGACGCTGTGTGGAGTGAGTCGGGCGTGGTGCCGCTGTATGTTGAGAAGGGCGTCTACGCAGGCTACATCAAGAAGAACGAGGGAGGCCACGTCAGGAGAGTCACGTTCGGCGACCACCGCGAGAGCTGGGACTTGTGCCCGGTCGAAGGCGGGTCGCCAGTCCCTCCCCGGCAGGCCTGGCCGTAAGGCCGGGGGGAGGCGTCGCTGTGGCTGGGAGCCCGGGCCCAGCGCCGCCCACCGACTTAGACGTGGGCCAAGAGGAGGAGCAGCAGGCGCCGGAGGTGGCACCCGCTCGAGTCGCGCGCCGTGGCAGGGCGCCGACGCAGGCAGAGCGGGAGCAGCACTTGGCATCGGGACACGCGGTCTACCGTTCGTGGTGCGAGGAGTGCGTGCGGGCAGCCGGCCTTGGCGCCCAGCACGCCAGGCGACCCGAGGATCGTGATGACGCCGACCCGGTCGTCAGCATGGACTTCGCCTTCGTCGGGGAGAAGGTCCCGGACGTGGAGGACGACGGCTCCATCCCCATCTTAGTGGTGACGGACCGCAAGTACGGCATGAAGGGGGCGACCGCCGTCAAGGACAAGACTGCGTCCGACTTCGTGGTCAAGTGGCTCGTGGGCTTCTTGAAGCACCTCGGGCACCGCCGTGTCGTGCTCAAGTCCGACGGCGAGGCGAGCATCTGTGCGATCAAGAATGCGGTGATGGTTGGCGTGGGCCAGCATGTCGAGTGCATCCCGCAGGAGTCGCCCAAGGGCGAGCACAAGAGCAACGGCGAGGTCGAAGCCAGCGTGAAGGAGGTGAAGAAGGTCATCCGAGCGAACTTCTTCTCCATGCAGAAGTCCTTGGGCTTCGAGGTCTCGCCGGGGCATCCCATCGTCAGGTGGCTGCCCCAGTTTGCCGCGGACTCCATCTCCAAGTTCAGGCTCGGCGTTGACGGCATGTCGGCCGAGCAGCGGAGGTGCGGCCGCCCCTGGAGGAAGTTCGCGGCGGAGTTCGGCGAGAGGGTGCAGTATCGACCTCTCGGAGTCGGAGACGAGAGGAGCACGCTGGCCCCCAAGATGCTCATGGGGCACTTCGTGGGCTACCACTCGCGGACAGGCGCACTGCTCGTCATGACGCAGTCGGGCGTGGTGCGGGCCCAGGGCTTCAAGCGCCTACATCGAGCCCAGGCATGGTCGCCGGAGACGCCAGGGTCATGGGGCAAGCTTGCTGGACTGCCGTGGGAGGTTTCCCCCGCGGTGTTGCTCGCGCAGCCCATGGGCCCGATCATCGTGACTAGAGACACGCAAGAGGACCACGACACTGTGGTCAGGAGACGCTACGTACTCAAGAAGGACATCGAACGCTTCGGAGCTACTCCGGGGTGTCCAGGCTGCGCGGACCTCATGGCAAGGGGGTCGGCGCGGGTCGCGCACTCCCAAGAGTGCCGCGATCGCATCGAGGTCGAGCTGATGAAGGACTCGGCAGGCCAGCGGAGACTGGCGGAGCACCACCTGAGGGCGAGTGCTCGCGAGGCTCAGGCAGAGGAGGGCGCGGCGCAGCCGGCGCCCCAGCCTGGAGCAGCCGCAGCCAGCGGCGGAGGAGCCGCTGCGGCCAGCAGCGGAGGAGGCGCCGCGGCAGGACCCGGCGCAGACGTGGCCATGGCAGGTCCACGTGCAAGCGCCCCGGCGACGCCACAGGCAGCATCGAGGAAGCGTGCTGCGAGCGTGTCCGCCGAGGAGCGCCGCCCGCCGCAGTTGCGAGACGGGCCGAGAGGGCTCAAGAGAGCTGGGAGCGAGCCGGACCTCCACGGGCAGATGATCGTGGACGGAGGCTCGAGCTCGTCGGCTGGACCGGCGAGCGCGGCAGTGTCCGCCGGGCTGGTGCAGCCCGCGCCTAGCCCAGAGGGGACTAGAGGAGGTGGCGACATGGAGGACTTGGCAGGACCAGCTGCACGAGCTGGCAGCTCCATGGACGTCGGCGCCTTTGACGAGGTCAAGGGCAAGATCTACCAGGAGATCCTGGCGCTGGTGAGCGCCACGGACTTGATCGGCGACAACGTCATGTCGATCGAGGAGCTGAAGGAGGTGTCCGCGCTGTTGACCGAGATCAACGGGGT